AGGGGTTCCTCCCTCCAAGTTGCTGCTCAAAGGCTGCAGAAAAGATTTATCTATTGCTTATGAAAAGAGGTGGAATACATGACTATTTATAGGGCTTCTAAACCCTAACTCCTAATAGGACTCTTACTTAAGACTCATACTTCTAACCAACTCCTAATAGGACTCCTACTCAAGACTCTTACTTCTAACCAACTCCTAATAGGACTCCTATTCTTTTACAACTCCATATTCTTCTAGAAGAAATAACCTCCTAACCCTAGTCGGTCTCTTCACCTCTTTAATAGGGGTCGGCTTCGGTAGGTTTTACATGAATGTCCCTCTCAATTAGGACTCTCCTAGCTAAAGTCCTAACAAACTACCCTATAACTTTTAGATCATTGGTCACTTCTTAAAACATGCCTAAAACTATCTAGAACATGATAAAAACCTAGATAACTACCATGAATTAATTCTCAACAAGTTCGGCATGATGGCACCTTAGAAATGTTGACAAGTCTCTATAACTTCAGGTGGGCTTGTCTCTGCAAGGTAGATGTTCCTCTCGTTAAGTGATGCACCCTGTTCAGTCTCCAATCCTCGAAGAACCTGACATTTCAAGATCGCTAGAGCATCAATGGATCGATAGATACAATATACTATCTGGAAGCATCTTCTCTATGATGAGTAAGTTTATCATGCCTTTCAGTGGTATTTAGTCACATGGCACCAAGTCTCTATACAACATTCAGAGCATACACCAATTTTTAATGGTATTACTTCCATGTAATATGACCAACCGCATGCAGGAATCCAAAGAAAGTAAAGAACAAGTAGCCATTGCAGAGGGTATCCTGAGAGAGCCAGATGAGACTGGGGGAGGAGTGAAAGAGGTGGACACTCCTGCATGGGAAACGCCTTCCGTAGAAGGAGCCTGGCAGTCCCACAACATAGTACGGCACAAGCATATCGCCCTTCTGCTCCTTAACCTTCCTCTTGTATTCTTACAGGGAGCGGAAGACGTGATCAAAATCCTTTCCGGGGAGGTCATTTGAGAAGAACTGGATCTCCGGTGGCTCCTGAGGCCCCGTGCCTCCCCACATGCCACTGACGACGTCGAGCACCTCGGAGACCACCAGCAAAAGTGTTAGGGCCCGAGGAACAACCGAGGTCAGCCACCACCGTTCTCTCAGGGAGCAGCAGCTCGTAAACCCCTTCTATTGCATCCTCCGGCATCGGCTTCGTCATGATAAAAAGTGATTTCTCCTGTAACGTAGTTGCAAGCCAGTGATCAGATATGCTATACACTTCAAGTTCATGCAAACAGTTGAAGAGGAGCCAACCTGAAACTCATAGTTGAGAGCATTGCTGGTTTCCCCCGCCCCTCCAACCATGTGAAGGACTTGTTCTACCTTCATGCCCATGTCTCCTCTGAGAACTTGTGGTGCTTCTGACGGTAAGCCTTTAGCAGCAGGACTTGTATTAGTCCATAAGTCTTCTTCTTTTTCCTTCTTTGGAGGCTGAATGCTTCGATCAAAGATGTCATTTGCAGGTGGATCTTTCAGGAAGAGAGGAAAGCCTCCAAATCCATTGAAAGAGTTCACAACAAAGAGAGGATCGTCAAAGGAATGCCAAGAAACATTGCCGAGTGCAAGAATCGGAGACAGTGAGTTCCAGAGATGCTGGTCCACAGAAGTCCCTATCTGTAATCCAAACTTCATTAGCCACTGGATTCTTCTATCTTGTGATGTCCACAAAAAGATTACTTAGATTGCACTGTTGAAAAGCAATACTGTCATCGTACGAGCTTTCTAGAGATAATTAAGATAATTTGCAAGTGTTCATCAGGCATGTTCACCGTGATCCGAGAGATACTGACATGCAGCAATGTGTACTCACTTGGTCTTTTCGTGCCGATGTATCCGGTAGATCAGCTTGGACTATCTCGACGTACCTAAGCTACCATGTGTGACCCTGATGATCTCCGGTGCAATCAAGCCGGTGGGAATATACACTATAACCGGATCAAAGTAAGGTTTAGAAGCAATGTGATGCCTCAGCAAAGTCAACTCTTATACTATCTTAACTTAGTTGATAACATCAAAAGAGGTTAATTATCTCCCTCCAATTACAAATTACTTTTGTCTTCTTTAAATCAAGATCGATTTGTATTAGAGTAGATAATATATTTCATCACCATCAAAAAAAAAAAAGAAGATGGTTTCCTGTAATGACCTTAAAGAATTTATCATTGTACGATAAAAAAACAAGTGAACTAGGGGCGGGCATATAGTGTTTTCTCTCTATTTTGGAGGACTCTTATTTTTAGTTATCTATGATAGAAGATAAGATTTTCCAAGGAAATTTTATCTATTCTGTTGAGGAAAATCCTTCTAATCTTATAAATAGGAGAGGAACATGTTATTGTTCTTATCTTCTATTATTTTAATCATGGTATCAGAGTAGTGAGAAAAACGAAGCTTCGCTCTTGCCTTTGGCTAGCGACCAACGCCGCTGAGAAAAGCGAAGCTTCGCCGACTTAAGGAGAACGAAGGGCGGACTTAAGGAGAACGAAGGGCGGACTTAAGAAGAACGAAGGGCTTCTTTCGTTATTGTTCTTATCTTCTATTATTTTAATCAATCTACTAGTAAAGTTTGTGTCAAAAGAGGATAACTGAAAAATACCTGATATTTTTAATATATCTTTTGGTTCGACCGAATTAGCTCTGAGGGTCTAGAATGTTATTAAGAACAAAGGATTGCGATAAAAAATTTTAAAAAAAATCTAAATCGGTTTGAAAAGTTTTCAAACCTGTCATTCTTTCTTCTCTCAAGTCAACGCTTTATGCCAAAGCAAACCGAGTTATCTATTATTTATTTTTTTTAGAAAAAAATAGAATAAAAATTTGTAATATTAAATAATATATATAACTCGTGTGTGTGTATTCGAACTTACATATATTATCTGTACGGGATTATTTATATTAACCGATCCGATGTCCCAACAAAGAGAAGTTGCCGATGATTTGTATCTATCAAATCCATTTGATAGGAGGGTGAGATGGGAGATTAAAAATGATGACGTCATCATTGGACCCACCATGTACCACGCACAATTCAATTCAATTCAATTGCTTTGGAATTATGCTCGGGACGAAATCCCGTCGCGAGATTTCGCTGTCACTTTGTCGGATGGGCAGCATAGTAACGACATGACTTTGAGCTCTACTGTACATTCTGACTCGCATCACATCAGACAGAACAACACGCACGAGAAATTTATTGGTAATCTAATTAAACAAAATTAATATAACGACGACGACCCGACTGCATATGAGACCCGATTTGATTTGGCTGTTAGCCTAATTTACAGTGACTCGAGACTTGGGTCATTATCGACTAGGCTGGATTTGGTACCGATGCATGTCCCCATTTATTTCGCACTGGGGTATGGATCCAACAAAAGTTGTTGAATGCATTATTTCAATCACTCACTTCATCGACTAATAAATGGGAGCTTTCAAAGCTTCATAGTCATTTTTGCCATTAAAATCCTCCTTTATGTTGTTGCAGAATATTAAGTTTCAACCTCAAACATTCGGTGATAGAGTGATGTTTCACCAGACTAATATTTTACGTGTAAAATTATTACATGTTTCAAAACTTTGATGAGTAAGACTCGTATATCATTTCTCAAGTTTATTGGATCAAATATTATGTTCTCGACTTCTGATAAAAAGGAGCTTCGTATATCGTCACCAAATAAATATTTTATATATAAAATTATTAGATAATATTTTGAACTCTTAATTTTTGATAAATGAGTTCAGTCCGTCACCTCAATATTTGATCGCTCACCGGAATAGAACAATGGCGTCGCGTTAGATCCCAAATACAGTCAAATTCTTTTTTCTTTATCTTATGCATGTATATTTCTTCAAAGATTTCTATGTAAGTTTTATATATGAAACACCGATAGTTTGCGTTTTCAATTTTCTAACACTCGTATAGGAACGATCTATGCTTCATTCCTTCGAATATGAGAGAGAATATAAAACTTTTTATTGATTTAAAATTAGAATTTTAAACTTATATAATTAACTTCTTTTTGGCATTTTAAACTTATACATCTATGATCAATCTAATTACGAAACTAAATCAAATAAGGTTTCAAGTAATCAAAATCTGATTCAAAATTTCAACCTTTGATAAATAAATTTGATATATTATCATCAAACTAATATTTTAAATATAAAATTATTAGATGAATCCTTAGCTATTGATCAATTACATTGAATATATGCTTCTGATGAGTAACATCCCATTTCAGATATCCATTACCGAAACGACAAGAGACAATCATATGACTAGTTTTCATTCAATGAGAGATACACCATATATTATATATAATATGCTCACCAATAACAAGCACCACAATATATATATATATATATATATATATATACTTTCAATCTTTCCTCTTCAAGCCAATGACTAGTATGGTGAACTTAGTTTTGGCCTTGAGGCAATGCTTGGAAACGTTATCGGCATATCTCAAGAACAATTCATCAAGTATGGCGTCCCCAAACTGATGTGCGATCAACGGCTCGATCACCGCTCGTATATATCTCGCCACATTCTTCCCGTTCGCTACGTTGTCGAACACAAGATCGTCCTCGGAGTCATCGAACGGGTCCCAGTTGGACTCCAACATCTGTGCTTGGTCCAGATCGAACAAACCCTCGTCGTGGATCACCGACTTCACTTCCTGCATCGAAGGTCCATAGAATGGCAGATTGAAGCTGTCCACCTTTTCCTCTACGACGACTCCCTGAGTTGATCGATGAACACTACAATGCGTCGGAAGCGGCCTACAGATGGGTACTGGAAATGGGAGGTGCAAGCAGGAGAAAGAAGATTACCTCTGAGGCCATGGAGTTAAGAGCTTCCGCTAAGAGTCCCCACAAAAGGCTCAGATCGCCCATGGCTGGGTGTTGCTTCTTTCTTCCTAGGAATGTCAATACCATTCCCCCTCCCACGCTCAGCTCGGCATAACGAGATTTGAGGAACGAGGAGAAGTCTCTTCGGTACTGTTCTTGATATGCTTCCACAACCTGTGGTGGACTCGTCTCTGTGATGTAGATGTTCCCCTTGTTCAGTGGAACACCACGATCACTCTCAAGTGCTTGAGGAACCTAACATATTTGTTTCATGGCGTTCGATCATGTAAGATAGAGAGAGCTCCAGTATATATACTGTGTACAGAGGAAACTGACCTGAGAGAGCCACATGAGGCAGTAGGAAGAGTGGAAGAAGTGAACACTTGTGCACGGGAAGAGCCTCCCGTAGAAGGAGCCGGGCACGCCCACGACGTAGTAGGGCACAAGCAGCTCCCCCTTCTCTTCCTCGATCTTCTTCCCATACCTTTCCAGTGACCGGAAGACGTTGTTGAAGTCATTCCCCGGGAGGTCATTGAGGAAGAACTGGATCTCCGGCGGCTTCTGCTCCAGCCTTCGACGTAGCTCACCGACGACACCGAGCACTTCGGAGACCACCAGAAAGGTATTTGGGCCGGAAGAACAACCGAGGTCGGCCACCACCAGCCTCTCAGGGAGCAGTGTCCTATAAATCTCTTCTATGGCATTATCCAATATCGGCTTCGTTCTATATATCGTTTTCTCCTGAGAATATAATACAAAGCAGTGAGGTGATGATTCATGTAATAAACCCTTACGACATCACCTAAGCTATGTAAATGTAAATATTAGGAGAGATTAACTTGAAGCCTGGAATTGGTGGCATAGCTGGTTTCTCCAGCTCCTCCCACCATGTGAAGGACTTGCTCAACCTTGATGCCCATATCTGTATCTTCTGAGAACTTGTGCTTGATGTGCGCTGAGCTTTGGAGATCCAGTTGTATATATACAGGCGATGAAGGAAGTGATCAGGCCTTACCTCATTTCACATCACCATCTTCTAGATGACTGCACGTCACGCACCCCCTTTAAGATGCGATAGATGCGCGAGATATGAATGTTGATGTCTGGTGACGTGGAGTGCTCGCCTTATCTCTCTGCCTGCATTGTCACTTGCTCTTTTCTGGTGTCACGTTCACACCTAGCCATGCAACCATGTCGATGATATCATGCACGAAATTGTCTTCTCAAGCTTTTGGATCTATTCGCAATGACAAGAAATCATCTCTCTGCAAACGTGTATATATTACACTTCCTTCTTCCATCTTCATCCCCACATCTCCATCAGTTTTAGGTCTGATTCACACCAATGCATATGTCAGCTTGTTTACCGAGTGATGATGCGTGTAATAGGTGCCATTCTTTTAATTCCCAGATCACATGTGAAACTATACCTCATTACAGCGTGCTGCACATGGCCTGTATATCGTCATCTCCGTCTCCACCACTTAGCCTGTGCAATAAGTTGGTTGGTGAATTAAAACTCCAAGCTGTGAGTAGCAGTACAATTAGATGAAGTCAAGTCAATGACAAATGTTGCAGTTATGCTTCGTACAACGGAAGGTTTATATTTATGCTTGTAGTACTAGTCCTCCTTCGACGTAAGAAACATCGACCATCAATTGCAGTTGCGTCAGGATGGTTCATATTGAGGTTTACGTTTATGCTTGCAGTCACTGTTTTTATTGCAGGTGTAAAAACATTGACCGGCAGTCGTGTTTAGAAGTCATTCGAATCCAACTTAATTAAATGGGTTGCTGACACATCATCATCGACGATCATGGATCGAATTCATTAGCATGAAGGCAGCCAATTTTTGGTTGATGTTGTTTTCATACCTGCCAACTGGGTGATGAAATGCTGCTGCTCGATCAAAGTGCTCAAGCAGCACAGATATGCTATTATATGACCTTCCAGTGGAAGCGAAGTCAAGGAATCAATTGTTATGACATGGCACTTTGACAATTTCCATCTTGGCAAACCCATTCAGATTGGGAAGACATCATCATTAAGATAAGTCACAGGGGAACCCAACTTAGTCCTCCATTTTGATATGTTGAAGTTTATCTTCTTTTTTTTTTTTTTTAAAGGATAAGCGATGAAGATAGGATTTGAGTTCACGGTCTTACGATAAACTATCCAAATTTTTACAAGCTAACACCTTTGAAATTGACCTTCTCAACATTAAGTGCTTTGACCAAAGGGTTGGGGTTGTTATTCTTCCTAGTTGCATGAGGCATTAACTTGGCTTTTTAGATTCAACGTGAGTCACGTGTCCAAGCTAGCTCGGATATGTATAGGTTTTTGTAGTAAATAAAGATTTCATGAGATCTTCATCTGATGTTAGGGTATATTTTTGCAATTCCAAACAAGTATACGCATGGAACACAAATATTTAATGATTTTATTAGTATTTTACGTTTATTTTGAGATTTCATATATGGTCATCACTCATATCCCTATAGAGTTAGTATTTTTTCCCTCCAAAATCTCATAACCTACTTTTATATTATTATAAAATAACCTTCTTTAACTATCATAAGCAAATTATTAGCTAATACTTTAATTTACATTTATAATATTTAAAAATTCATCATGATGCTAAAAATATTAGGAGCACTATAGATATTGTATTTCTAGGTATAACTCAATAAATTTAATGTTGACCACAACAAAATAGTGAAGAATTTGAAGGATATTAATATTTAGAGATATATGCTATGTTAGAATTTGTAATGGCAAATATACTATTTTCAAACTTTGTAAGAATACATATTTGCATAAATAAATTATATATATATATATATATATATATATATATCGATCCTAATTACCTAAATAAAAA